ATGGTCTCTATTTCTTTAAGGAAAATTACATCATGGAATCTGGAGCACAGTTTTGGATAGAAGGTGGCAGGAGAAGCCATCACATTCAGAATTTACAGGGAAAAATTTCAGGTTTTTAGTACTAAGTATGAGAAAAGTTGTGAGAAGCCCATAGATGCCTTTTAGCAGTTATCTCTTTTCAACACTCAGTCTGTTGTTTGGGTTCATTTTGAAAAGGGGCTTAGTTTGTATTATTTTGAATTTTTGAGATCATTATGTAAGTGTGTGTGCGCGCACGCGTGCGCGCGCGCGCGCGCGCGTGTGTGTGTGTGTGTGTGTGTGTGTGTGTGTGTGTGTGTGTGTGTGTATTGCACTTGTGAAAGATAGCCTCACAACTTGAAGCATCACTCCACAGGAACCACTCACCTTTTCTCTCACCTAGGAACTTGCAGAGTTGGCTAGGATGTGAGGCCCATGTGCCTAAGGGATCTATTTGTCCCTGACTACCTTTCCGTGGTAGCACAAGCATGTTGCACCATGCCTAAATTTTTAAAGGTCTATCATAGGTATTGAACTTTCAATTTAATGCTTGCAAGGCAAGAATATTATCGACTGAGCCATCTCACTATCCTTCATTATGAATATTTTCTTTATTCATGAATATTGTGCACTGTGTTTACTGTTCATGTGTCTGTCAGGCTGTGCCCCAGGATAAACAATAACCAGGAGAAAAAAGAAGAGTGCATGAATCAGACTGTGATTTCTGAGAGTAGAAACATTCACACATGTCTAACAGTGCAAGTGTTTGTGTACAGTAAAATTAGTGTGAGCATGTTCAAAATATATAACCCCTTGTGACATGCTGACTTTGCCAGGATAACAGATGTGTTTGGCATGCATTTCAGTCATCAAGTCTGCATATGCCCCATTCTATCTGAAAAGCATCCTGACATATAATGTCAGAAATACTGACATTTGAGAGCTCTTAATATACACTCCTACTCAGAAGAAAATGATAAATACCAAGACAACAGTGGGATAAAATATTATAACAAGGGCATGAGCCTATTATAGGTTATGAGAACTCTATCACTAGGCAAGGAAATGTAGCAGGTGTGTGTGTGTGTGTGTGTGTGTGTGTGTGTTGGAGGCCAGAGGTATACCTCTGCTGTCATTCTTCAGTATGGTCTCTTACTGCCCTGAATTCCCCAGTACAGCAACTCTGAGTATGCATATATACACTTTGCTTTGTTATGGGGCCTCTCTGGATAGATCTTAGGCTGTCATGCTTATGAAGCTATCACTGTATCCATTGAGCCATCTCCTTAGCCCAAATTTCACATTTTAGAAAAGATTTGTTTTTATTAGGTTCTAGTCAGGGGTACATGTGTGCATATGGACAATTGGGTGAATGTGCACTATAGTTTTTGAGGCAGCTTTTCTCACTGGGACCTGGAGTCCCTGATTTGGCTAGACTGCCATGTCAGTGAGCCCCATGAATTAGCTTGTCTCCAACTCATGGCACTTAGATTAAATGTATGTCTCACCATGCCCCGATTTTACATGGGTGCTGTGAATTAAACTAGGGTCCTCATGCTTGCTTGTTTAGCATTTTATTACCTGAGTTACTTCATTAGTCTCAACACGTGTTATTGATCTATTTTTTTATGAAAGCCATTTCTCTCTGTATGGCATATGTCATTTTTTTTTATCACCAGCCATTATTTTATGAGCCAGGGTTATGACAGTTGCTTTAAAGCCTTTTCTTGCTAATTCTAGCACTGTGGCATCTTTTAATATATTTTATTTTATAAACTTTATCAATAAAAATCCTTGCAAATAAATAAAACACCACACACCAAAGTCTATAACAATGCAATGAATTTCTCCATAGTTAGAATAGGAATTTGGAAAAGAAGCTGTGGAGCTTTGTATAAAATTTTACACTTTCAGTAATGAATATAATTTACCACCAATCCCCACAAAATTCGTGACAGAATTAGAACTAGAAAAACAATTAGCTTTATCTTTTCTCTCATAACTTGTTTCTTTTAACTGTATTTAGTCCAGCCTCCCTCACCCCCTGATATTTAGCCTTTCTTATTCTCTTTTATTCATGTTATGCTGAATCCAAATGTTCTTTTGTTTACATAGATATGCATTATTGTCTAGATTCTGTATATGGATATGAAAGAAAACATGCAGTTTTTCCCTTTCTGAGATTGAATGATCTGCTTTAATATTATATGTTCTAAGTCCATCATTTTCCTGAAATAAATTAACTTCATTTTTCTTAGTAAGTCTTATATGTAATTTTAATTATGCAGTCATCTGTTGATGAACAACTGGGTTGATTTTAATTATCTGGTTCTGTGAATAAAACAGCAATAAACATGGAGATGCAAATATCTCTATAGTAGGATAAGGAATTATCTGTCTATATGCCCAGGAGTGAAATAGCTGAGTCATATGGTAGTACTCCTTTAAATTTTTGAGAAATCTCCAAACAGAGTTCCACAATGGCTATTTTAATTTTTTTCCCACTCAACAGTGAAAAGGGTTTCCTCTCAGTTCACATCCTTGCCAACATTTGATTTTAGATTTTTTTTTGTTGATAGCCATTCTTACTGTGATAAAAGAAATTTTAATTTGTACTTACCTGGTGGCTCAGGATATTGAACAGTTCTAAAAATAGCTATTGGGGAGGGCCATGTCTGGTTCTCTGTTCCTATTGCAGCCAGACTCTTGTGTTTATGTTTGTGGCCCAGGTTACCACTAGCAGCCATGTTGCTGTCTAAAGCCAAGCTGATGTCTGTGGGCCATGCTGCCAGCAGGGGACATATTGATGTGACTGGCCTGTGCTGCCATTCAACCCCCCAGCTCTGGAATGCTGGTGCTTGCACTGAGGCAGGCATCCTACCCAGCGCACTGTTTCTGCTTAGGGTACTGGTATGTATTTAGTGTACCAGTATGGCAGAGGTTCTTAAAAAATCCATATCCAGTTTTGTTTTTGTTTCTTTCTCTCTCTTTTTTTCTTTAGCTTTCTCAGGCCCTATGAAGAAATATAGGCCTCACATTGGAAAACCAAAATGTATCAGGGTTTATTTTTTATTTTTTGACACCAACCAGCTCCCAAATCATGACACAGAGACTTATTAGTTTTGAATGCTAGGCCTAGCTTAAGCATGTTTCTGGCTAGCTCTTTTAACTTAAATTAACCTGTTTCTCTTTATCTACCTTTTACCCCAGGGCTCATTACCTTTCTTACATCTGTATAGCTTACTTTCACTGCTTTATATAATTAAAGTAATATTCTACAGCATAAACAAATGTAGGACCTTTTGTCTAGTTAAAATAACATTATACAACAGTCTCCAGTGACTAACCAGACCCTGGGTATCTGCAGAGCCTTCAGTGGTAACAGGAACCAGAAACCCTACCCCATACCCCAGCTGCTTCAGACCATGGACCCAGAAATAGCTCCAAGCAGTAGCCTCTGTTTGGATGTCTCCAGGGTCCCAGGTGGCAGCGCCAGTCACCCAGATCAGTATGGCCCCAGCCGTGGCATGGTCCTCAAAGAACAATATCGGGCCTACTAAACCCTGGTCATCCGAATGGCCCTAGGTGGTAACAGGAGCCATGGATATCAACTCAGACCCTGGATTCTGTAGGGTCATAGACCCAGAAGAACCAGAAGACTAAGAAGACCCAGAAGACACCATGGCCCTAGGTGACAGCACAGGCCACTTAGATCAGCATGGCCCTGATGGCTGAATAGGCCTTGGACATTCTGGTGGCCACAGGTTGCTGGCCAGACCCCAGGCATCTATGTCATCTTTCTTTGTTGGCAACATGGGTTATGGATATCAATATAGACCCTGGATGTGGTAGGACCAGAAACCCACACATGGTTCTAGGCAGCAGCCTGGGCCCGGATGTCACCATGGTCCCAGGTGGCAGTGCAGGCCACTTGGACTGGCCTGACCCCCATGACACTGTGGCCCTTGGACACCAACATGGCTCCATGTGGCGGCCCTGACCCCTATCCTCTACACAGTTTTCAATGGTCTCAAGAGCTACAGTAGTCAACACAGACCCTGGCTATGGCAGGCCATGGACCCAGACATGTCCCTCAGCCACAGCACTAGTCCAGATAATACCATGGACCCAATTGACAGCATTAGTCACCCAAATTTTCTGGCCTGGGTGATGACATAGCCCTTGGACACCATAATGATCACAGGTTGAGGTACAGGCCTCTGGACATCTGTGTGGCCCCTTGCAGCAACATGGGCATCAACACAGACCTTGGCCATGGTAAGAGCATGGACCCAGACATAGTCCTCAGCAGCAGCCCAGGCCAGGATGTCATCATGGCCCCAGGTAGCTGCACAGGCCACCTGTATTGACATGGCCCTCATTGCAGTGTGTCCTCAAATACCAACATGCCTCCAGGGTGGCCTTGAACTCACAGGTATCTGCCTGCCTCTGCTTCCCTAGTGCTGGGATTAAGGGTGCATGCCACCACTGTCTGGCCTCTATGGCTAACTAGTAGCTGCACTCTGATGTTCAGGCAACTTTATTTGTTAAAGCACAAAGTATCACTACAGGTGGGCTCTTGGTTGATTGTGTACCTTCCCAAGCCAAACATTCTAGGAGGAGCTGTTATGATAAAGCACATGAGCACAAGGGGGACCTTGGCGGATTCCATGAAAGGCAAGGGTGACTGAGGCAGAGGGACAAACATGCCAGGCAGACAGAGCTTAGAAGATTTTTTAGAAAGTGGAGGGAAGGGAGAAGGAAAGAGAAAAGAGGTAAAGAGATACAGAGACAGAGAGAAAGAGATGACAGAATAGACGAGGGAGACAGGAAAAATCCTGTCTGCTCCAGGAGAACAGTGGGAAAAAGAGCAGGAAAGAGAGGAGTGGGAAAGAGAGAAGCAGGAAAAAGAGTATAAGAAGAGTGTAAGAAGGTGAGGGTCTTTCTTTTAAAGGGTCCTTTGCATCTGGGCTGACCAGGGTACTGCCTGAGTGCATTCTGTCAGGTGACGGGACAGGTCAGCATAATGCCTGAATCTTTGCAGGAGCCATGTTTTCTGTTTTTCTGTTTTCTAATTGGTATAATAGCTAAGACTTCTAGCACTATATAGAATGAGAGAGGGGTAATAGACATTCCTGATTTTAAAGGGACTGTTCCCAGTTTATCTCCGTTTAATACAACGTTGGATATAGGTTTGTTCTATATGGCTTTTATAATAAAAAGTGAGATTTTGGGTTGATGAATATGTCAATTAATTAGTTCAATTTGGCTAGTGTATTAAAAACATCACATTGTACATGATAAATATATACTTTTATTTTTTACCGACGATATATTACTTAAAAGGAAATTAAAAGCCTGCAAGTTGTAAAAGTAGTACAATCCTCTATCTTTGTGGAAGACATGTTCTTATATTGGATGGACAGATAGATAATGATTCACTGATGGATGCTAAGACTGAACTAGAGAATTCAGATAGAAATTGTGTTT